GCCCACCCCTGATCTAGCTATTGTCAGGTGAGGGCAGCAGGGGCGGGACCTCACCCCACCAGACCTCACCCTTTCCTCCATCTGCCCTTCCCCACCCCCCTTTCATAGATTTCATAGACATTAGGGCCAGAAGGGACCTTGGAAGATCATCGAGTCCAGCCCCCTGCCCAAAGGGCAGGAAGTCAGCTGGGGTCATAGGATCCCAGCAAGATAAGCATCCAGTTTGCTCTTGTAGGTGTTCAATGTAGGCGCTTGAACCACCTCCGGTGAACCACCAAGTTCATTCTTGGTGCCGAGGGGTAAAGAACAATTCCCACTGCTAAGGCTGCTCCTCTGGGGTCATGCACACCAGCAACTGAAGTCAACTTCCCTCTTAGACCCTCCTTTTGGTCCTAAGAACATGAGGGGTGCTGGGGGAGACAAGATGGGCTGAAAAATACAGCTCTGTGGCCCCGTATCAGCCCACGTGCCTTCCACTGGCAGCAGAGGATGCTGCTTGGAGCATGGGCATGGGCAACAAGGGAGCTGACAGGGGCAGAAGGGGGAAACCAAGAGTCCCAAAAGGAGTAGCTGCAGGTGCCATTTATCCACAAGACACCAAGGTAGGTGTGAGGCACCAAACCAGGGGAGAGTGATGAGCATTTACCTCTTTGTACAGAGGCCAGGTGCCATAGTATCCTTAAAAAGGATCTCCAGTATCTCAGGGTACCACAGCATCCCAGCTGAGAATCATTGGCTATACTTTTCAGAGAATTAACTCCAAGCCAAAATCTACTCTTCTTCCCCCTCCTCCTCTTCCTCCCCAACCACAAAAATTAAATAGTTCAGGAACCACCAGTTAGGAAAAAGCCAGGAACTGAAGCGCCATCTGTCTCAGTAATGCCAACAATTCTGGATCAATTAAAAAAATTATCTAAATCTGATGTATTATGCTTAAGTTTGAAAGTAGAGAAAGCTTTTCAAATATCCATGCAAAAAAATATACTATGACCTACATTTATTCAAATGTTTCTATAAAAATAGGTGGAGTCCATTAAATGTTATCAAAGGCTCCAAGTTACAAATTGCCTAAATTCCTACATAAATAATGAAAGCCCTGCCACTCCAATTAACTCTTGAGGTCAGGCCTTGCAAACATGGTACAGCAAGTCACCTTATATAAGAACCACAGCCTTAATACAGAGCGGGAGAGGATTCTGCCATAAGCAGGTGGTTGGACTAGATAAGGTCTCTTCCAGCTGTGTTTTCATATGATCGCATGATGAGCCAAGGGCTTGCACTCTTGGATTATGTTTTGCTATCTCCTAATATAGCTGCTCGACACAATAATCAGCAAAAAATTTAAACACAAATTGAGCAATACATCTTTCATCATACTAAACTAGAACTATTTAACTATATACAGTAACAGTGTACCAAGACTGCTCGGTAGAAAAGATACATAAATCTAGTTTAAATAATCTATTTAACTATAAATCTACATGTTTTAATAGGCACAACCAATGAGAATGAACCTTTGCTTTAGAAAATAAATTTAGTACAAACAGAATTCTCAATTAAAATTACTTGAATCAGGGTGCCCAACTTCTAAGTGGTCCCCCAGCTGCATGAACCCCCTGCAGCCCTGTGCCAGTGCTTCTGCATCAAGCATGTTCTCTCCCCCCACCTCCATTGCACCACGCCTGTTGCCCCCAGCCACAGGCTCCTTTGGTGCAGTGGGCCATGCCATGCCACCCACAGGAAGGGGGAGAAGTAGGGAGCAGCAGCAGAGTATCAATGGGCAGAATGAAACCGGATGCAATTCAACAAAGACAAATGCAAGGTACTCCAGCTAGGGAGGAGGAATCCCCAGCACACCTATAGGTTGGAGGATGACCTCCTCAGAAGCTCAGCGGCTAAAAGGGATCTTGGAGTCATAGTTGACTCCAAGATGAACATGAGCCGGCAGTGTAACGAAGCCATCAACAAAGCCAACCGCACCTTATCGTGCATTAGCAGATGCATGACCAACAGATTGAGGGAAGTGATGCTCCCCCTCTATGCAGCATTGGTCAGGCTGCAGTTGGAGTACTGTGTCCAGTTTTGGGCACTGCACTTCAAGAGGGATGCGCAGAATCTGGAGAGGGTCCAGAGGAGGGCCACTCGTATGATTAGTGGCCTCCGTGCAAGACCCTATGAGGGAAGGTTGAGGAATCTGGATCTCTTCAGCCTTCACAAGAGACATCTGAGGGGAGACCTTGTAGCAGCCTATAAGTTTATCAAGGGAAGATAACAGAGTTGGAGATGTGCTATTGACCAGGGCACCCCCTAGGAGTAACTAGGAATAATGGGTACAAACTAGTGGAGAGTAGATTCAGGCTAGGCATTAGGACGACATTTTTCACAGTAAGGGTGTCCAGAATCTGGAACGGGCTGCAAAGAGAGGTGGTACTATCACCTAACTTGGAGGTCTTCAAGAGGAGGATAGATAGGCACCTGGCTGGGGTCATCTGACCTCTGTCCTCTTTCCTGCGTGGGGCAGGGGGTCAGACACGATGATCCTTCGGTGTCCCTTTCGACTCTACAATCTATGAATCTATGAGTAGGTGCCTGGACCAGGAGCCTGGTTAACCTCTCAGGGGCTGCTACTTGGAAAAACTCATTTAAATCCATTTTTCCATCTAAAGACTTAAGTGATTTCATGTTCTCAAACACACCTTTCCTATGCTCTCAAAACAGGCTGAAATGGTTGGTCTATGGGAGTGAATGGGTAGTTAAATTTAAACATTTATTGGAGCAAGTGCAATTATTTGCCTCTCTTTCTTGTATCAGAAGATACACAAAGACCACTTTTCATTAGATCCATCTGTAAACACCAAAACAACAGCCACAATGCTCCATTAAAAATTTCAAAGCCCCTTAAGCAGTCACAACTCCACCCACTTGAGCACACAAACCTCTTGCATAACTGCACACAAGATTTTCTCCTCTCCATTGCTCTGCAGACCACTTCAGATGGTAATAATGGTTGCAGAACTTGTTGCAAATTTTTCAGGACAGTGACACTTCTAATCTGAGAGCTTTTTGATGACCAGACTAATGGGTAAATATTATAACACTCACTTACAATAATTCTAATATTTCCTTACCTTCAAAATACAGTCCTTCCACGTAAGCCAGGTAACAGGACAGCATGAATAGCTCCTTGACAGGATTTTGTTGGGTATGTTTTACAGGGACATTAATTTCTCTAAGTGAAAAAGTCTGTATATGAATCATCTTAGAGATCCTTCAGGTAAATGTTATATTACAAGCTATTTTAATAAACAGGTTTTCTTCTTTAAAAGACTGCATAGTTATTCTAATAAAATGGCATTTGCCTGCAGGATAGTTAAGTTCTTAGTTATCTAGAGTCAACTTGCAGATATGAAAAATCTAACTTATCTGGAAAATCATCACTATACTTGTTCATGCAAGAAAATCTTTC